TTCAAGTCAGTTTAAAACTTAGTTCCTCCATTGCTCTAACCACGTTTCAAGTGCTCCATGGCCATATGTAGCTGGTTGCTAGTGTATTGACTATTACAGATATAAAACATTGCCGTCATCACAGAAAACACTGTTTCACAGAAAGTAAAGGATCTAGAATCCTAGGGCGTCTATATCAAGGAACAAGAATCAAGATAAGCAGTAATGGAACAACAAAGACTGTTAAGGAGGCTGAGCAGCATGAATCTAGACAAGGAGTTTAGGTATTGAGCAAGGAGACTCAACTGGAAGAATGGAATTTACTCTTTTGTCAAAATGCTTACTGAAGCCCTGCAAAGAATTATTTAAGAATTCAACCCAAACTAGTATCCGTGTTAAATTGTGTACTTTATCTCATTATGTGATAAAATTGTTAAATGCTTTTGTGGGGTAGAAGGGGCCATTGGAAATGTGGAGTGAGACTGAGATAACTTAGTTCATGAAGTATTATTACTAGATTGCATGGTGGTAGTTGGAATATGGAATGCCTGTTTTCTGTTTCTCATTTCACTGCCCTTCCATGACCCTTTAAGATAATAAAAGTATGCATTGTGATAATAGTGGTCACATTCCTACAGTGCTTAGGTGTATTTCAGCATCTCTTTTTTTATGTATTAAGAGAATAGAGTAAAAGGCAAATGACTAGTTTATTCAAACTGAGCCAACAAATCTGAGATCTCTAATCTTGAATCTCATTAGAACAGTTTTGGATTCCTTAAGCAAATGTGACTCGGATTGTAGATCCTAATGTGCATTGGAAACAATTGAAACATGTATGGATACAATCCCAGATACATAGAACAGTGTTAATGTGGTTGCAGCACAGAGCATTTTGGTTAGACGATGATAATAGCAGCTTACTTATACTTTTGGTGAGATGGTGTAAGCTAATGATGTAGCCGTTAATTTGAATTTAGCAGACATTTTAAATATAGGTTTCTCTTACAGAGACAAAAGTTGCAATTTAAAGCTCTTTGGTGGTCTAAAAACAGCTTAATTCTGTAGTAGCATGGGAATAAGTACTAATCCAGCTTATACAGTGATTGTACTATGTCATGTTTGTGAAAGATTGCACAACCGCTTTCTCTGGTTTTTATGTTAATTTAAAAATATTAAACATAAAACCTTATAACATCTTCATGCTGAGATAAACTGTTCAATTTAACTTGTGCTCAAGCAGCAACTGTCAGGAATTATCTTGTTCCTAGTGGTTTTTGCTATCACCTTGTGCCCTTTCCTGTCAGAGACACAGTGTGGGATGATAAAGCTCAACTTGTTAGGATTTATTGCTTAAATAATACCTGAAGCAAGAAGAACAGTGGAAGCCTAGGGGTTAGCTCGCTGCTGATTGAGTGATGTCATTTATTGTATTAACTTTTTTTTTTTTTTAATTACTGGAAGTAGGCAAAGTAAAAATTGCCTATCAGTCTTACCTGCGTTCCTTTTGTGAGCATATTCATTGCTTTTTGGGGGTGTCCTTGACTTACACATTTATGGAACTGCTTGCTGTCCAATTTAACTACTATTTTACAAGTGAAAAAATAAAGAAGAGATGTTTTCCTAATGATGGAGATAATTTCCACAATTTAGAAGTAGTGAGGGCTATTTTAGGATCAGTTATAAAAATAAAATGGTTTTCCTATTAATGATTTAACAAACTGAAGGAAGTTTTGGTATGGACAGTTTCAAATGGGTAGTATTATGAAAATTATGAAAAATTATTATGAAAATCATTGCCATTTCACTTCTGAATGTATTACATTCTTTTATATAAGAGGTTTTATGTGGAAGGCTCAACTTTAGATCTGGATTCCTTAATTATGGATCAGCTAGCAGGTAGGGAAGGAGAGGAGGTGTATGGTAGGAGTAGAGTGAAGGACTCTCCTTGGTTAAACATTTGCTAGAGATGGTCCATCCTGAGGATAATTCTCATATAGGAAATTAATAATTGGGTTATGACTAGAAATACATCTATAATGGGTTATTTATATAATGGGTTTTATATAATTTTATCTTATATTATTTATATATATTATATGTTTTATTTTTATTTTAATTTTATATAATTTTATATTATTTATATATGTATATATATATTTATATATATGATTTTATATAATTTTATATAATTTATATAATATGCATTTATTTATATAATGGGTATTTTCCCTTCTACTTACTGCCATTTAATGCATAGTCCCTCAAGTTTGTAGTTTTATAAATGTATAACTGAACAAAAATATACCATTAATTTAGATTAATCAATTGTTAACATTTTGTTCATTGTTTATCTCTATGCAAATATATACACATAAATATTTATTGTTATTAGTAGCCTTTTAAGTGAACCATGGAAGAATTAGTTGTAGACATGGTGACACTTCACATGTAAATAATTCAAAGTGTCTCCTAAGAAAAGTATATTCTTGTACAAGATCATAATACAGTTATTACACTTGAGAAATTTAAGATTGATAAAAATTTACAGTCTTATATTGAGTCCATATTCAGAGTTTTTGTCCTTATAATATCATTTATAATTGTCTTTTCCCCATCTAGTATCCAGTCAGGAATCACACATTAAATTTTGTTCTGGTATCTCTTTATTTTCCTTTAATCTAGATTTTTTTTTTTTCTTTATGACTTTGACAGTTTTGGAAATCAAACCCTGTTATTTTGCAGAATGTTTATTTGATTGTCTCCTCATGACCAAATTCAGATCAGGCCTTTTTGGCAGGAATACTACCATTGGTGATTTGTATCTTTGTCAGTATATCACATTGGGAAATACATATCACTTGTCCTATTATTGTTCATATTAAGTTTGATGACTTGGGTAAATTGATGTCTACCAAATTTGTCCACTAAGGTACCATTTTTTTCTTTATAGTTAATAAGTAATATGGGGACTGCATTTAATGACTTTTTCAGCCTCATGTGTGAAAACCATTGAGCTTGCTCAGGTCTCATGATTAAGAATGAGTCATTGCTTGTAGTAATATTGTTTGGAGGGAGAGGAGGGGATATTACTCAATAATGAGACCCAAAAGTCTCATCCATTTTCTCTCAAGGAAAATATTGATTGATTGAGATAAATATTTTATTGTTCCGTTTACTAAGGATCAGATTTTTAGATAAGCAAATATCTTCATATTTCAGAATTTTCAATCCAAGCTTTAGAAAGGCTTATAGTTGATGGCGGTGGTAGGCATATTTTTGGACAAAATGGGGCATTTTTTCATCATAATTTTTCTGCTTCCTTTAGTTGAGTACAGACAATCAAGAGAAACAAATACATCTCCTTTGTAAGATGTTTTACTTCAAAGCATTAAACCATGACATTAATACAGCAATGTGGGTTTAAAGAGAGATCACTGCCTTTTGGTCTTCGGTGCCTTTTTTAGTCCATGAAGAAGACACTTGAATTCCTGTTTATGATATATGCACTTATCATGTAATCATTCTTCTTATGGGAAAGGCTAGTGCCGCAGATCATATAAACACCTGAAGTTAGCCATTTGGCTTGTCAGCAAGGGAGAATTTATAGTAGTTGTAATCATGGTAATAACAAGTACAATATTTTGTATTAAGTACAGAAAAAAAACATTTGTAATGTAAGTGGTCCACAGCCAATTCATATCCATGGTGTAATGAGAAGTACTTCAGGCTTAGAAGACCAGGAGTCTCTGCTTTGGCACTTTACACCAGTGTGATTCTGGAAAAAAAAGGGAAAAAAAAAAAAAAACTCTTAACCTTCTTGAACCTCATTTTTTAGAATGGGAATTAAAGCTGTAAGGGTCAAATGATGCTACATTATGTTATAAAGGTGGCATTCCATCAAAATTGTGCCATCTAAGTGTCCTCAGCTGTTCAGGGACTGTAATTTGTTCCTCTTTTGTATCCATATGTGGTATACCTCATTAGGGCAACATTTCCAGGTTGTCCTAGATAGTTATTCTTCTTTCTTGTTTGTTTCTTTTAGTTGTTCATATCACTGTTGCAGGCAGCATTATCCCGTGGGCTCTCTTGTTTCATTGTTTCTGTTCTTTGTTAGACTATGGCACACAGTAGGCATTTAGTAAATATTTGTGGAGTGAATGAATGAATAGACACTTTCATTTATAACCATGGTAGGTAAGATTTCATTTCCTTATTTCCATGAAGATAAGGAATCAGCTTTCTTCTTTTTTTTTAATATTTATGTTTTATATAAGGGGTTTTACAGATTATACATCTGGTGCCATTAGCAGTCCAGTAATGGAGAATAAAATATTTGAAAAAACACAAAGATTGAAGAACAGTTTAAAAAAGGGAGGGGGAAGAGGGACAGTGAGAAAACATGCCAATAGAAAAAGACCACACTCGATAAGTCTATTGCATAAATCAAAAGGGTTTATGTCATAACATGAACATGTGCCATTTCTGCTTGTATATTGAATTTCAGTAGTTGGTTACATAAAGAAGTAAAGTGTAATGAAACTGGCAAGCAAAGTATTCCCCAGTCAGCCTTATCTTTGTTCCATTTGTCCTTCAGATAGCGCATTTCTTGCCTTTTTCAATAAAATCCGTCTGGCTTTTTTCTTTTTCTTTTTTTCTTTTTCTTTCCTTCTTTTTTCCTTCCTTCCTTCCTTCCTTCCTTCCTTCCTTCCTTCCTTCCTTCCTTCCTTTCATTTTCTCTCTTTCTTTCTTTCTTTCTTTCTTTCTTTCTTTCTTTCTTTGCATCTCTCAGTAACTGAGCAGAGAAGACCAATGAGATTCAGGGCTTTTATAGTTCTTAGCAGCTGCTTTTTAAGAGATGAAAACTTAGAATGCTGCTACATGGTATTAAGGCTTAACTATTGATGTGTCCTTGTAGGGGATATGTTTTTCTTGGGTTAGGAAGAGGGGAAAGGGGAGAAAGGTGAAGGATGACTGCTTCAAGCATGCTTGGGACAGTAAACTTTAATTTCCTTGTTTCCTAGGATCCTCTTTGCAAGCTCAGTGCTGAACCTGACTGAATTGGCTGCCCTTCGGCCTGACCTTGGGAAATTAAAAAAGATTCTGTACTTCCATGAGAACCAGTTGGTATATCCTGTCAAGAAATGTCAGGAGAGGGATTTCCAGTATGGATACAACCAAATTCTCTCATGGTAGGTATAGATTGTAGTCATTATATTTAGTCCTTTGCCCCTGTTTTCTTTATAGTTAGCTTTTAAATTTTGAGACCTACTGTACACTTATTTTAAAAACTCATTAAAGTAGGTGTGTATATTTAAATGTATCTTCTGTGGTAGTAATTGCTTGTGCCTTTGATATACTTTTATATATATATATATATATATGTATATATGAGAACAACTAATCCTTTTATAAAATATACAAATGTAATAATCTAATTATATGTTGAATTAGTTATCTATTTTCTACAACATTCAAAATAGAATCAAAATGTTGACAAGACACCTTCTTTTCACCCCTTGATTCCATCATGTATTGTTTAGGTGATACTTTTAGAAAAGAGCCAGTTAGGGTATTGTCATTTACCAACCACTTTCAATATACCCAGCTGAAATCAAGATAGAAATTTACACAGGAAGAAATTAAAAATTAAAGCATAATAGAGCAAGGAGTTTTAATCCTTTTTTCTTATTATTTTTATAAGAGAAAACTATGGAAAATGAATCTTTAGGTGGTGGGGTTTTTTTTCCCCTCATTGAGTCTTCTGAAACTGCACAGCCTTAAAATACCATGACATTTCAAAGGTGATGGTCCTTCTCTGTTGTTACTTCAACAAAGTGTATCTCTTGAAGCTTAGTTAATGAAAGAAGTTAATAACAACTCTGAAACGGCTTTGCAATTGGATCCTACTCACAGAACTACAACAGTCAAATAGAATCAGGTTGGCCATGATTGGGTACATCTTACTCACCTTTTTTAAATAGTTATTAGCAATTGGGATTGATGATGTGCTCCCAACTCTTACAAGCATATTCCATAGTTTAGTTGACATAGAAAAACAGCTCTATGGTGATATTTCTGTGTTTTGAGCATTTCGTAAATGTTTTCCTGCCATCATTTTTACAAGCTGCTTCAGTCGTGAAGTAGCAGCGCTATCAAAATAGAGTGGAACTGCTTCACGTCAAATGTCTCATAAAAACACAACCATTTTAAAATTTCATAATAAAATTAAAATACTTTATTTTATATTGAAACAGAGAAGGCAAATATGTTTTAAAAACAAAACTAAAATCATTTTGTGCTTTTATCAATATGGAAAACATTTGTAATATTCTTTTGATTTCTTAAATTAGCATCATTCTTTTCCTCTGATAGTGTGTGTTTATTACCCCTGAGAAATAACTGGAGAAAAAAATTCAGTCTATTTTTCCCTTTATGGGTGGCTTTAAAGTTAATGGAAGTTATACCCACTCATATCAGAGAGGAAATGCATGAAAAGAATATTTCTGTAGACTGTCTTGGATCTTTAATTTAGCATAGAATGGGTTTTTAAGAGTGTAAGTAGTTGGGTTTCATGCCCTATGAGGGCAGATATCTAAAAAAATTTTAGCTCATTGCCCCTCATCTCTCTATTTTATAAAAGATTGTTTTTTCTCAAAAGGAATGAGACTACAAAAGCCTGTACATGATTTTCCATCATTGCTCTTCTCAAGAGGGTAAACTGATCGACAAGCTCAGAGAGGAAGAAGTAGACTCGATCATTGTTTGGACTCTTTACAAGAAAAAAATAGTTTGCCGTTGTCCAGAGGAAAAATAAGAGTGTCAGAAAGCAGTCCCGTTTCACGTTCTCTTTGAAAAGTATGAGTCTTGCTTCCTCAAATGTTTCTTTAGGTTTCTTGCTGACTTCTGCTTTTGTTGGCACTGTCGGATTTCTTTCTTGACCGAGTGACAGTTAAGGACCTCAGAGATGACTGACATAAGCACTCACCTTAAATAGAGGTTTCGCTAACCCTCTGACTTATGAACACATGTTGTAACTGTATATTATGACCTGTGGGTCGCTATTACAATATGTGACATATGGTGAAAACAGACTAGCTGTAAAACATCCTTCAACTTTTGGTCTATTATTATATTGGCTTCCTTATTGCTTGCTGATGTGTCAGCACTTCTGTGACATTCTTTTGTATTATCAGTGCTGTTATCACCCCTACCCCCAAATTTCCACTAGGTTGCAACAACAACAACAAAAAAAAAAACAAAAAAAAAAAACCAAAAACTTATATAGAGAAAAGCAGTTTTGCAGGGGAGGCATAAAGGTGGCAGTTCAACATTCCTTTTGTAGGCTTTTCCTTCTGCTGTGTATTAATAACAGGAACTTTGGCTGTCCTCAGTAAACGGAGCATTTGCTAGGTATTCCTGTTCTATAAGCTCTACCTTTTCATTTGTGTTTTGCCATCTTACAGACTTATATGTCTTTTCCATTTCCTTGATTTATCAATTTTAAGGTGAAATAAAACTAGCTGTTATTTGAGCTTCTATACCTTCTCACTAAAACATCTGTGTGTGTTTTAGTGAGATCCAGTGACACTGAGGCATTGAATCATTGCTTAAACAAAGAGGGCCATTTTTAAAAACCAAACCAATTATTTATTAAATCAGTTTTTTGACCCATGAAGGGAACATACTATATATTCAGTTTTGTCCAGGTTGCCCTTAGTTATCACTTGTGTTCATTGGTCTTCAAGAAAATGTTAGAGGCAGTTCTGAACACTGTGGATATATGTATGACACCTAGAATTTGTTAATCACATTTCCTTATAACAATGTGTTTTAGATTACTTGTATTTTAAAAATATTAAAGGGAGGAATACAGTCTTTCCATTAAAAGTAATAGATAGTATTCTATTTATTTCATTTAATTCTGAAGGTCCATGGTATTGTGGTCCTTCTTCTCCTTTGATGACCCCACATATAACATACTAGTAAAATAAGTTATTTATAGAGATCCCATGTAATCCTTCCTGTAGAATTCCAGAACTTTAAAAAATCTAGTGGTTTCTTGAAGCAAAGGTTAAACAACAAATCAACTTTTACAACATGTTTAAAGGTATGGTTTTGTGTGAAATAGCTTTATCTGAACTAGTCTCCTTGAAGGTACTGAAAAGTACGGTAGATGTCCTCTTGTCAGCAGTATGATATAAAATGGTGTATGTCACTGACATAAAAATCCAGCATGGGTATGTGGGCCACAGAGAAGAAGGTCCTGCTGTACTTAGTATTGCTGATAATGCAGAAAGTCCTGACACTGCAGAAAAATAAACATTGTTTGATGCCTCATAAGATCCTAGTACATCATTTAATTCCTCTCTTGCCTTTCCTCCCTGATGCCAGCACTCTAACTTATCATGATACAATGGGAATGAAACGAACTTATCTATTAGAGGCCATTTAGTAAATACTGATGGGAAATGCAGAGTTCTTTGCAAACCCAAGTACAGTATAAACTCTGATTAACACAGAGGTCTTGAGCTTATAAAAACTAACTGCGAATGAGTGTGGGTTCATCATTTGCATTTATGCCTTTCCTTTCCAGCCTGGTGGCTGATGTGGTGGTGTTCAACTCAGTTTTTAATATGGAGTCATTTCTCACCTCTATCGGAAAATTTATGAAACTGATTCCTGATCACAGACCCAAGGATCTGGAAAGCATCATCAGGCCCAAATGCCAAGTTATTTACTTTCCCATCAGGTTTCCTGATGTGAGCAGGTCAGTGTGTTTGACTCCGTTTTTCAATATTGTGTCATAAATTATTTCCCAAATGTATAGAAATTTGTGGTGTTCTTGCCAATTTTAACTTTTCAGCATAAGCATGGTTAATTAGAGAATCGAGTTCTATTTCACCATGCTGTGATTTACAGACATTTTAAATAATCATGTGTCCTGACGATCCCTGAATGGTTAGTTCTGATATTGAGTTCATCTTTTCTTCTCTGATACTTACTGGTTTCCTCAAGCAAGCTGCTTTGGCTCTTTTGACACTTACTGTTTTGTTTCTTTCTTTGTTGTTTTGTTACAGAAGTCATTGTCAAGCATATTTCTCAGCCTTTGCATTCAGCTTATGCCCATGGGTTTTTATGTATATAGCAACTGTTCTAAGTAAATCAATGGTAATTGCACTGCTTGGGTTACTTTCATTTCCTGTCCTATTTTCTTCTATTATTTTCCTTCTTCCTTTTCTTTTTTTATTATTTATGTTATTATTATTTTTTAAAGATTTTATTTATTTATTTGACAGAGGTCACAAGTAGGCAGAGAGGCAGGCAGAGAGAGAGGAAGGGAAGCAGGCTCCCTGCCAAGCAGAGAGCCCAATCCGGGGCTCAATCCTCGGACCCTGGGATCATGACCTGAGCCAAAGGCAGAGGCTTTAACTTACTGAGCCACCCAGGTGCTCCAATTATTTATATTATCTTAATAAAGAGTTAGGTCTTCTATATTAGGTTACAAATGCACTTAATTGCCATTTCTCTTTCTCTGTTACTAAGGACATTTTTTATTACCCTTGTTGCTGGGCCCACCCTGAATTACCAGTGGATGATGTGGCTCAAAGGGAACATTCTCAAATTCCTTTTCACTTCTGATTAAACCTAGCAAAATGGTTTTTATTACCAGTAGGAATATTTCTCCCGTGTGAACAGAAAGTTTACTTCAGTGGGACTCATACTAGCCGGGGATGCTGCTGTTTGCAACTGAATATGTCCTTAAAAAGGGTTCAGGGACAGCTGTTTCTTCCCCATCGCTGAAAGGAAGGCAGGAAACAATTTAATGTCTATATATGTTATGCAGGAGGTCAGCATTACTCTCTGTATTCTAGATTTACTGAGTTCACCCAGATTTTGCTGTGGAATCAGTAGTCCTCATCAGCACTCTTAATGCTGATTTATTTGAGTGTTTACTAGTTAATATTTCATTGAAGAAAAATCTGCCTAATCCCAAATCAAGTTAGTGAGTCATAAAATTTAAGTTAGACAACCTTGCGCAAGTCTTTATGGAGTTCAGAAAGCAGAGGCCCAAGGAAGCAGAGACTGGCTTGTACTCACACTACTGATTGTCACAGACTGGATTAACGTTTAGACTCCATGATTCTTTATTCAATTTTCTGTTTACTGTTCAAGGTTCCTATTGCTATAGGTCATTTGGTAAAAATACTTAATCATTTATTTGGAGTTTTGACAACTGTCAGGCTAAGCGAAAAAATATCAAAATTGATTTTCAGTTATAGATGCATATGTATATGCATATATAATATGTATGTATATATGTATGTATGTATGTATTTATTTATTTATAAGATTTTATTTATTTATTTGACAGAGAGAGACACAGCGAGAGAGGGAACACAAGCAGGGGGAGTGGGAGAGGAAGAAGCAGGCTTCCTGCCGAGCAGGGAGCCCCATACGGGTCTTAATCCCAGGACCCTGGGATCATGACCTGAGTCAAAGACAGGTGCTTAACGACTGAGCCCCCCAGGCACCCCTATAATGTGTATTTATATATATAATATGTGAGATGAGAGAATTTCAACTTCTGGAAAATACAATTGTTACACTTTAGACCTATGATTAGTTAAAACGTAGTTTATATTTTAGGCCATACTTTTAAAATATGAACTTTATTTTTTTGACATTTTTTAAGGTTTCAATATAATGTACACTCAAAATGTACATCTTTAATTTAGTAGGTGGCTATACTACATCTTAATTATTACCACTATAGAATTCCAAACACAAAATATGTTTTAAAATTCATTTGCATCTGATATATTCCTACAACATCATATGTTTTAATACACCTGTGGCAATTGAATAGTTTATTAATTTGGACTATATTACCATAAATAAATCTAGCTAAATGGAAAAAGGTTAAGAAATATTGTGGCCAAGATAACATTCATAAGCAAGGTCTTAGCCCAGAGTGTTATTTGAATTATTTTCAAATGGTAATTTGCTTTATCCAACCCAAACTCATATAGTGTAAGTAAGTGATTATTTGCATGAATGACAATCATTCTAATGCCTGCAGTCTTAAAAGAGTATTATTTTGTTGAGATGTTGAAAAATATTTAGTAATTCCAAAGGCAACATAACCAAGATGATTAAAAAAAAAAAAGAACTTTTGAATGCTTCTATCTTTCTCTCTATACAAATATTGTTTGGTCATGGCAAAAAAAAAAATAAGTAAAAACAAAGTAGAAGATATAATTAAATTATTAATATAATATGCTATAATAGTGTATACTATAATGGATATTAGTCAGAGAAGGGGAACAGCTGTATTTCAGCAAAAAAATATGAGGATTTCTAAAGTTGTTAACAGTTAAGATTCAGAGCATGTCAGTCACATAGGACTTCAGTAATACGGCTTCGTGGCAACTACTGTTACCTATTGCCCTTCTCACTCCTCACTGCCTTGTCTTTCTCAAAGACCAGAAAAATCATTGCAAGAAAGAATATCACTTGAAACTATCATTACATGTATTTGGGGCACCAGGGTGGCTCACTTGGTTAAGAGTCCAACTCTTGGTTTTGACTCAGGTCATGATCTCAGGGTTTTGAGATCGAGCCCTTTCAGACTCTGGCTCAGCAGGGAGTCTGCTTGGGAGTCTTTCTCTACCCTCTCTCTGTGCTTCTCCCCCTGCTCATACTCTAAGTAAATAAACAAACAAATAAATATCTCTTAAAAAAAAGAAACTATCATTATATGTATTAAATATTTGGGGATGGAAAAGCTTTTAAACACTGGAGGCGTACATACATGTATTTGAGTCTTGATAGCCACTTACCAGCTCTGTGACCTGTATAAGTATAATGACCCTGAACTTAGGTTCTTTAATATTACGATTATATTTACGTATCACCTCTGTAGGCATTGTGTAGTGACTAAAGGAAATAATGCAAATAAAGGAAATGCAAATAAAGGAAACACATGCAAAATGCCTAGCATAGTGCCTGGTATGTGATAGCCCCCCACCCACCCCAGTAAAGACTACTTCATCATATTAATTTCCCCACTCCCATTGTTATATAACCTAGCACATTTATTGCCACCTGAATATAAAGTACTCTCTTCCTCTCTCTCCTTTCTTAATCAGCACATTAAAATACAGAAGTACCCTGCCAAAGGAGCAACCCAATATAAATAAAGAGGTTCATTTATTATTCTCTGTATCATTCTGACTCAGTCTTTGGGCCTCATAGGAATCTACCATCCATTGGTGGGGCCAACTCCTTACTTTGATTTTTTTCTTGTCCCAATTTTCCTCCTTCCTTCTTGAGCTCAGCCTCCATGTTTGATCATTATCTTTGCTGTCTTGCATATTCTCTCAATTTTTTTGCCCTTTTCCTTAATTTGATCAGGAGAAAAACCTCCAGCTGTACTTGTTAGTCTACTCTAAATGCACATGGTCCTCCTGAGCTGCCTGGTAAGCAGACCACATTTCCCATCTACTAGATAACTAATCATGCGTTTTTCTTGCTTTGTAGACTTCTGATACCAAATATTCTATCTTCGCTCTCAGATTATGACTGAGAAAATAGCAGCAATCGGCAGAGAATTTCTATGTGCTGCTACCACCGTGTCGGCCCATCCACGCGCTTCTGGGTGTATATTCTTTTTCTTTGTACCCATTAATGTGCATGAACTGACTTTGCTTCTATGTGAGGCCTTTGCCTCCACAAGAGTCCAGCCTTCTTGCATATCTAAGGACTACTGTCCTAGCAATTTGTCCTTCTCTGTTCTGTACCATCAGTTTTCCTGTCTTCTGGGTCATTACTATTAGCATAAGAAAAATGCTATTTGTTTTACATCTTTAAAATAAAAAAGCTATTTCTTGTTTCCACTTATCCCTTCTGCTAGTGCCTGTTTTCCTTCTCTCTGTTAGTAGCAAAACCTCCTGAAAGAGTTTATATTTGCTCCCAGTTTTATTTCTACTGTTCTCTCTTACAGCTACTCCACTGAAACTGTTTTTTGTTAAGGTTACCAGTGACTTCCATGCCTCTCTAAATCCTGTGGTCAATTCTCAGTGCTCATCTTACTTAACATATCAGCAGGATCTGACACACTATGACACATTCTTCAGTTGTTTTCTAGGACACGCAAGTTGCTATTTTTCAGGCTTGTTGCTGGTTTCTCATCATTACCTTGGCTTTGAACTTCATACTGGCCTTTGGCACTCTTAGCACTTAAAGCGTTGATGAAAGAAGAGTCCAGGATTGAAAGGAGAAGAAAAAAGGAGTCAGGAAGTCAACACTGAGAGAATTGTCTCTGGAGAAGAGGGAAGAGGACTCTAAGAAGATGGCCAGTAGTGAATTCAGAGGAGTAAGGTTAGATTATACCCTTGAATTTGATAAATAAAAGATCAGTGATACCCCATCCTGCATTCTATTAAATCACAGAAAAGTTTCTTGTGTTCTTTCTAGTAGCCAGAGAAAGTTAGGATGCAAGTCTGGGTGAGATCTCTTTCCTTTCCTGTCTGTCTATCTGTCTGTCTCTCTCTGTCTCTCTCTCACACATACACAATGTGTGTGCACACACAAACACACACCCACAGATTCTGCTCCTCATTTGTGGATGAAAGCACCAAAGTTCAGAGAAGTTAAGTGTCTCCTGGTAACCACACAGCAAAATATAGACAGAGCAAGAACTGGAACTCATATCTCAAAATCTCAATCCCATGCTCAGCCCACCACTTATTGTGAATGCAGTTTCAG